CCAATTATTTCTACGCACAGTTTATATTTTTTTACTATTCATCGGTTATTTCCTACAAATTTTTCGGATTTAGCCCACGCTTCTTTTCCAGGCAATGTCCGGCTTTATCATGATGATGACGCAGCAGGGAAAATTATTATACATATCAGAAAATGCGGCGGATTATCTCGGGCATTCTATGGTATAGTAAATTGAGAATATCGCATAAATAATAACGTTCGTAAATGTCTCTTGCTGGAAAACGACGAACGTTACGCTCGAGATGAATCGCGATAAGATGAAAGATTTTCAGGAGGACTTGCTCATTCACGGGGACAGCGTGTATGACGTGATCGACAAGCAGGATCACATGATCGTGCAAAATCAATTATCCCGAAACAGTCCCGTTCCCAGCGACAGGAGGCTGTTTCTGTGTCGAATCAACGTGTCGAGGAACTCTCGCAGGCAGCTGCGGTTCGGCGATCAAAAGGTGATTAAACCGAAAACCGCCGCGATTAGCTTTTAAGATATTATAATGCCTGCGGATACCGCGCATTATTCGCTTCTATCCGCAGGTAATTCTCGTGGAGGGTCACTTTCTGCCGTTTGTTCCCGTTTGCAATCGCAACGAGTTCGTCTTCCTGGCGTCTTGCACTCCGGTGGTGCTGCCGGAGACCCGGGAGAGTATCGTCCAGGGCGCGACGAACATCTTCACCACGATTCACTCGATGGATATGAAGTACCTGCATATCGATAAAACGTAACGTATAACTCGATATTGATAATTAGAAGATATTAAATCGCGCGTGTTTCTGGAAGTTTCTTCCTTCACAGCGCGGAAAGTCATTTGGAGTACTCTCGTGCCGAGTTGGTCAACGTATCGTGGTACAATCTACTTCATTGGGATTCCATAAGGACCGCCTATTGCAAGCATCAAACCGGTAATTATGATACAAAGCACTCTCTCTGTAACAGAGAGAAAGCGAAAACATCTCCACGAAGCAGCAAAGCTTAGGAAATGTTCTTTGCAATTTTTTTCTGCAATTTAAATTCTTCTCTTTTGATTCGATTTTAGTCATTCAGTCCGATCAGGAGCGATCCACTACCGCTCTTTTGAAGCTACAAAGCCGCTCCGGGAGGTGGTTCTGGGTTCATTGCGTGCTACAGGTCAAGGACACCTCCGACGAATGTCAGCATCCAATCATCGTTTGCACGAATCAAGTACTCACGTATGTCATGATCGTTTTATGATCCCTTTTAATATTCATTTATTAAATTTCTGACTAATTAATTGGTAATTAATTCAAAATCCGATTACATTGCATGATAATTACAGCGATAAAGAGGCGGAAGTAATGCGCGCCAGTTCGTGGTTGTATCAGTATTCCTCTCAAACGAAGTTCACCTACGGACTTTGTCCTAGCGGCCAAGGACGTGGCACCGTTTATCCTCCCGCAGGATCCGCTACCAACCAGGTTCAGGAGTACGTTCGGACGTATTCCAACGACACCGAGGCTCAGCACTCGCCGTCGCTTCGTACGGACCGGTCCGAGACGGAGTCGCACGGTACTTCGAAGATCGCGCAGCCGACGGATTATCCCGGCAGGCGACTCCTGCGGGACGACGCGGAACCCGTGGACATGTCGATAAGCGGCACGGAGCAGCACGAGGGTAGGGGCGTACAGGGCGTACAGGTCTCTGGTCATCAGCAGCATATCCTGGACGACCCGGTCCGGTACCACCACAAGCAGTATCACAAGAGCTCCTTGCATTTAGCCGGCTATCGGGCCAAGTTCGTGCAGTGCCATGGTACGCAATACGCCAGCGGTTGCACGGATGTGCTGTCGGTACCCGGTACCAAGTATTACCTTACCGACCTCGACCGGGACTACTGCTGTGGCACGGACCGGAGCGGGCTGTCGCTGCATAAGCGGCTGCCAACGAAGACGGTGCTCGCGCCACCGCCACCCTCGATCGCCGCCGCAACGGCCGAGCCGCCGCCGCCGCCCGAAGCCACCCCCTTGGATAACTGGGGCGCCAATCCGGCGTGGTCGGACACGTTGCAGAGGGTGCCGGACGTGATGCACCAAGAGCTGAGCCCATACATCACTACGCCGACCACGCCGGTCAACACGCCCGACTCGGACACGCTCGGACACTCGGAGGCGCCCATCTTCAACTTCGATTGGACCGGCACCGAGCAACACGTGCCAAATCTGAAGATCACCTTCCACCGCGGCAGCGTCGCGTCCACCGCCGCCGGCGGTCATCCCGCTACTCAGCCCAGGAAGCAGCACCAAGACTCGGTGCAGCCCATCACGCTACAGTTACCACGTAGGAAGGGACAATCCGCGGAGAACGACAGCAAGGACTTTCCGAAATGAGCTTGAAAATATGTATAAGTTCGAAGGGGATCAATACTATAAGAGCTTAGGAAATAGGCAGAAAAAAGTACAAGAATAGGGAAAAACCTATAGTTTTCTACCTATAGCTTTTTATCTATAGTAAAAATGTAGAAAATACCAGTTAGTTTCGTTAATGAAAAGAAAATTCATTATAAGAACCTAGAGAAGAAAGTAGGGAGGAAGGTAGGGACTCGAATATAGAGGCCAAGTAGGGATGTACATGTGTGCGGCGAGGGGGGGGGAGTGAGAAAATCAAATGCGAACACGAGAGAAGTGTTCGGATAATGTCATATCTGCATATATCTTTTTGTCACAGACAACGGAGTATATTCTTCCAAATTCTATCGGTATCGCGTTACACAATTTTCTACACGCTCGTTCGTCTTCTCTCTCTCTTTCTTTTTTCTTTGTTTTTTTTTTTTTTATTATTATTATTCTTCCACCTTCTGTCTCTTTGGCATCTTATACGTTTATTCTCGAATCGTAAATTCTTCAATAATATAAAACACGTATATAAACATAGACTGATTACAACGGTGTTTACAATAATCTACGATTAAAAAAGTCGTACATCATTTCGTTTATCTTCGGTATACGCTTTTAATGCGAGAACATTCGTTTTGAGATAAATAGCACGC